TAATTGGAGGTTGCATCACCGCGAGTCTCAAATACTAACCCGGTACCCCAAAACTGTTTTAAAACCTCATCCCATGTTGTTTTAAAACAATATTAATGTAAAGGAAATGCATTACATTGTGTTAATAGTACTGTACTATGTAATTAGTACTGGACATACTCGTATATAGTTTTTGAATGTAGGTATGAATAAATGGGTTTTTGAAACAAAATACTATGAATTTATTCGTATTTGTATTGGCAAAGTCATGTATTATGGCTCATAATGATGCAATACACATGCTGTTTAATTTCTGATATATATTTTTAATGTCCATTTCTTCATGGGCAAAAAAAAATCTTTGAATTATATAGCATACTTTTAACAAACAATATGTTATACAGTATATGATTGTGTTTAAAAAGAGAACGTTTATATGTTCCTTTAAAGTCATTATAAGGGGACATATAAACTGTTATATTTTATTATTATTTATTATATACTGTTTACAAAAGAAGATAAATCTTCTTTCTGATTGTCATTACCACAGTGATGCTGATAAATAGGAAACAAGTCCTGAAAACAAAATCATTTGGTGTCAAATTATGGTTATTTTTTATTTTATTTATCCATTTAATTATTTATTCATTAATTTATTTTTCCAGTGGTCTTAATGTTACAAAATCTTTGGGTTTAAAATCTTAATATTGAAATGTTCCTGCATGTCATTGTAGTTGTTATAGTAAGTTACTTTTATCCTTATCTACTTGTTAATTGTGTTGATGTGTTTATTGCGAACTGTTATGTTTGATGTGCAGGTGAGAGTGGATCAGATCAAAGAATATGTCCTAACATATTCTATCTCAACTCCAATATTCTATGGGGAAAGTAGTTGCGATTCCGTAATAGTGTAGTGAATTATTGCTTATTATTATTATTATTATTATTGCCCAACTATTACTGTTGTATAAAAGAATTGATAATATTAATGGTGCCTCATATAATTCAATTTTTTTTTCTAAGGAGGTATTTTTCTTTAACCATACATACATTATGTACTTATACAGTATGTTACCATATGCTTATATTGTTATACTTTTTGATTTATATTAATATAGTAGGATAGAAGTCATGTAGCCATATAGCCCTGTATCCTAGCCTATGTTCGGTTATTTCTATTTTCTGTACATCGTCTGCTCTGGGGTTTTCTCTTCATGGATATAGGTCCATGTTATAAGGGATATTGAATTGATGCTAGTAGGCCTATTTTAATGTAGAGTTGATACTAAAGGGAATGTACTACATGTGGTGTTAAATCATAATCGAAGGTGATTTGGCCAAAGGTGAATCGACTGCTTTAGGCCTACACCTACTAAACTGATACCAGATAAGTCAGTTGCATGATACAGTATTTGGATTGTGACTACCCATCTGTTGTGTCAAGATTTTACATATTGACTTTAAGTCTGAGATTTGAAGAATAACTTGCTTGTGCATTGTTTTAAAGCTTTAGCTCTGCTAATAAAGAAGTACCTATTGTATATTATGTGTTACTACTGAAAATTGCCAATTGCTACAGAAATTTAGAGTTTGATTACTGAAATAGATTTTATCAACTTGTTAAGTCTGGTACAAATGTGGTTGGAGAATAAAAAATCATTCATAATAATTTATGTACAGTATATATTGTACAATAAATAAAAACTGGCTTTGGCCTAACCATCACTTTGTATGTGGTACATAGCTAGATACTGTCAGCGCCATTTAGGCCATCTGCATCCATGAAAGAAATTTTTTCTTTCACTTTGATTGTATCGCATAAAGGGTGCTTCCTTCGATTTTTCATTGCCGTACTATGCTTTTGTTTTGTATGCGTGATTGTGTGGATCGGATACACAAATTATTTTAGCTTTAGTTTTCTTAGCCAAACCAATCTTTAATTGATTTATTTTGTTGAATTTATTTCACTATATGCTTGGTTAACATTTATGTAACCAATAGTATTTATTTTAATAGTCATTGCTTTGAATAACATGCTTTGTTTGGCTGGACAAGGATGCCAATGTTATCATGATTATACTGTATAGGGACTACACTTTATTTCCTTTATTTTATAAGAGCACAGAAGCTGAAATTGCTTAAAGATGAAGAACAAAATATGAGGCTGTTATTATCAAATGTTTTTTTTATATAGAAAAGCAACACATCTTATCTGTAGGTCTGACTCTATATAGATAACATAATTTTTATGTTAAAAAAAAACTGTAAAAATAAGAACATCTTGAGCCTGAAAGGCTTACTGGTTTTTATTTTAAAAAAAGGTGTATGCTTCAGTGTACAAAGCATTAAATACTAGTATCAGTTAACATGCCAAACGTGTGTATTGTGGTCTATTTGTTGTCTCCTCTGAATACTAGAAGTAAAGGTCAATAAGAAGAAATTTATATCTTCATAATGATAATTGGAGAAATACGATAATATAGGCCAACACATAAAGTAATCATACTGTCACTATCAATATTTTTATGTGTTAATCCAATACAGACAAAAAATATACTGTTTAATGGTATGCGACTATTGTTCTTTGGGATTACGCTTCAGGCAATCGTTTGTTCCTCATGCAATTCGTGTTAAACATAGGCCTATCTATATCATGTTTAAATAATAATAATAATAATAATACAGGAATTTATATTATATGTGGTTTAAGTAAAGTATGTATTCGATGTTTATATAAGCACAGTTTAAGAATGACAGATACCCTTATTGGACAGTGATATTAAGTATCTGATATGATTTTGTGATTGATTTTGTATTATAACTTTATATGTTCCTTCAGTGGTTTTAAGTTAAAAAAGGGACATATAAATTTTTATATGTTCCCCTTATGGATAATAAGTGGACTTATAAACTTATTGTTCCCTTATAGCATTATATGTACATAAAGTAGACATATAATGCATTATAAAATGTTCCTTTAAAGAAAGGGAGACATATAAACAATGTTCCCTTAGTGTAGGTCTAGTAGTTAAAATACTTAAAGGGGACATTGTAATCTGAGTCAAAGAGTTTATATCTGTTATGCATAACCTGAAAAGGATGAAATTGAAGTAATACCTGAGTTTTATATTAAAATCAACATTTATGCAGTTTTCCTGTCAAAACCACTTATAATCGTGTTTATATGCTTCATTTACTAAAATGTCGCCTAACAGTTGAGTTTTCACGATGTCCCCCAAGAGTAGATTTCGTAACCCATTTAAAATTGCAAGGAGTGTCATTATGCATTTATTTGCTTTTTAGGCCCTAAATCTAATTTTCTCGCTTATCCATGTTGCTGCTGATTTAAATTAAATTTTAAATTCAATTTACTGTAGGACTTTTAAAAATGCATTTCATGTCCATGGCTGTCAACATTAGAAAGTGCATATATTTTATGTAGGGCTTGTACTAATTTTGGCCGGAAAAACATATGCCTATACGATGAGTAATGCAGGCTTAACTGAAAGTTAACTTTTCAAGCGTTTGTATTGGTAGGAACTGGTCAATGCCTACCCAAAAACGTCAAAACAACATGACAATCCTAACTTTATCTTAATGCGTATTTCTTCCTAGTTATCAATCAACGCCATCAGGCTAAATTCCCAGGGGCGTCAACTCTGACCTGCTGCATGCACACAGTAGCCTTTTAAAAACAGAACATAATCGATGAGCAGTTCTGCAGAGCGTACTGCTCCCACCCTCCCGCTTTCGCGGGAAGTTTAGTTGATTTTATTTTACGAATTATGATTTTGCTCTTGCTGTTTCGTATTTGAAGAATTGCCCAAGATGTCTGGCTCGCTACCTTTGTTGTACCACGCCGAGAGCTCATTTTATTCACAGAGGGTAAGTTTTTTTAATGATTTGTTGAGTACAGTACCCTGCTGTGGTGTTGGTATGGTCACGCGGTAGGCCTGATGATGATGGCCTCATAGACCTACCTAGGCTAGCTAGCAGCATCCAATGAATACCTCCTCCGCGGGTCCGTCCATTTGATGTTAGATGGATCATCTGCACCTAAGGGCCTGGCTAGACCTCTTGCGATAATTTTGATATTGTAATTTCAAAATCTATACTTAGACCTATTACTAAGTACTACCTGGTACTACTAGGCCCTAGATTTCTTTTGGTGTTATATAGCCTAGCTGGGGCATATTTTGATTTTGTGTGCATTTTCCCTTGGCTTGATTTTAATGTAGTGTCCCTCCCTCTCCTCTACTAGGCCTAGTTCTTTGTGAGTGCCCCCTGAACAGGCCCTCAAGCTAAATTTTATGTATTCTTTTTGAGTCTTTCAATAATAAAGTGTTTTAAAAAGGTACTATACAGGCCCATACACAGGATTTTTATTGGGTGGGTGAGTGCGAATTTGTAGAGATTGAATCAAAATAGCTCCGGCGAGAGGGTTGCCACCGCCGTGCCTAGGTGGAAAAATTCTGCTGGGACCGAGGGGGTGGAGCGCATGCATTTTTTATATGTTTGAGGTCTTATTCAATGGATTTCTGAAGATGCATATATTAAAATCAGATCCAGGAATTTGAAGGGGGCAGGGGCATGCCATGGATGGACTTTCACTGATGGAGGTTATACCACCTCAGCCCCACAATAATCTTTCTGTATTGTTTTTGACACTTCTTTGTGTATATTTCTTGCTCTGACATTCGCTATGGCGAACAGTGCAATGGTCTAAATCTGCGCCTGCTGTATCAAGATGATTTCAAAGCGAGAATAAGATGATTTTAATGAAACCTACTGTAGAAGGAAGATGAGTTTGAATCATCGACATGCAAGAGGAAGGGAAAACACTCAAATTCCTCAAAAAGCTTAAATACAGTTAAAAGACATTGCTTGTACTATGAATTATAGGCGGTCCTATTTGGAAACTGCTCTGATTGGTCAAGGAGGTTTGATGGATGAATTTCTGGAATGTGTTAGTGATTTTTGAATTTTCTAACCCGGAAAATGTGGACCTTTGGTAATTTAATTGGTGCGTATACACCAGTCGCACCCCCACCCTACGTACGGGCATGAGGTATACTTCATGAGTTCATGAGTAAAACAATTTCTTTTTACATTGCGTGGGTATACATTCTTGAGCAGGCTAAGCATTAAATCAAACACTTCACTCAGGAATTGAAGAAAAGTCATACAGAAAAATAGAAGATGAAAGCTTAGTGTAGGTAACATTTGACAGTGTAGATGATGAATTTTTTTTAATTTTTATTTACGAGAATGACAAAAATGTTACCTGTCTAGAAATAAACTAATAGATATATACATTCATGAACTGAAAGAAGCAAGTAACCATTTAGGATGTGGCAGTGACAGCCCCTGCAAGGGCCCCAATCTTAAGAAACCACAAGGGCACCAGGCATTACACCACTACTAGTAGCAGTAGTAGCATGCCCTTTAGACAGTCTTAAATTTAGGTAGCTCACAGAAAATGCCTAATTCCCTTTCTCTGGTAATAAAGATCTAAGGTTTGTAAGTCAGGGAATTGAAGAGAATTGTGCACATTAGCAGTGGTTATCCTATATGGAATTTTAATAGATATTAACAATATCCTGCCGTGATATAACCAATATGTAATGAATCCTACTAGGATCGATACTATATTATACTTCTTATGGTAATATTAGGGAGGAATAGAAAGCGAAACTTAATACTTCTGCACTTGGAAACTTTTGGTAATAATACTTTCTACTCTCAACGAGCAATAACTAGAACAATACAAGCCCGTCGCCATTACATGTTGTATCTGGAATGAGAAGAGGTATCTGACCTAATTGGCTGCTGAACCGCCTGATTGGACCATGTTCAAATATAACTCAACGACAACTATAGCCGTGATGGAATGAAAATCTGGGAAATATTTTGACAGTTTCTCTAGTGAATTAAAATGGTCATCAGAATTTTGTGGTTGGTAAAAACAAAAATTGATTTAGCGATAAAAGAGTGTAAAGAACCAATAAAAACAGAGAAATTAGAGAATGATTTAAAAAAAAAACAATACAGTAATTTTCAACAGCAGTGTAACATTAGAAAACTAAGAACAGTCACTTTGTATGACTGCCTGAATGCTGAACAATACGCAGGCCATATATGATGGACGATTCCATTATTTTCTGCCCTGTGCCTGAATACTGAACGATACACATCTTGTGTATGATGGGCGATTCCATTATTTTCTTTTATGCTCAAGGGTAAAAAACTGAACTTTTATGAGCTTCACCTTGTCCTTCGACCTTTTCTTCCTAAAATTTAATCGTATCTAAGATTATTATGTACTATTCCACAAAATTTTATGATCAATTTCTTAGTTTTTGTGCAATCCTGCTAACAGACAGAAAGAGAGACAGCGGTGAATATATAACCTCCTTTGGCGGAGGTAAAAATAATGCTATTAAGAACAACTAATTTAATAATAATGTTTAACAGTGAATTAACTTTGAAAATGATGCTTATCAGGTTTTATTGGTTGTTTGTCTTGTCATGGAAGGGTACCCATTTGCTCAGCAAATTTTTAGTGAGACATACAAACTTTATCTGGAGGATCGATTGCACCCCCTTATTCCTCTAGATCAGGAGTGGGCATAAAAATGGGTCGGAGGGCCAAAGTAAATATAAAGTAAACACCGAGGGAAGGTAAAAATGGATAATGAATTGTAATAGACGTAAGCGATGCTGGAATAGAAAGTTGTTTTTCAAGTATGTGCAAGGGTAAAGGCCACTGGACAGATGGGAGTTAGTAATGTAATTTTCAGGCACTAACTTGCACCTGTCTGCTCAGTTGTTCCAAATGTCTGTTGGTGAAAGGTAATTTTAACGAAAACTGTTCACTTAACTCCTTTTATCAAACACCGGTGAGAGTCAGGGTCCTTGACATCTACAGATATGAACTGATTTAAAAGAATTGCGCTGAGGAAGTCAATAAACAAGGAATTTTAGGTGACTCATTGCAATTTTTAGGACAGGAGCAGGAACGAGGGTTTGTCCAACAAGAGGAGCCAAGTTGTCTAACATGAGGTCTGATCATTTTTCATGAGGCCAGCTTAATTTATTATACATTTATTATACCAAACAATTTTACAGAGTATAATATATTAGACTCATATAGAGCTTCATGCCAACTAGGCATCTATGTGTGCTACGTTGTTATCCCTGGTCATGTTTATCAAGCACATAATATAGAACACATACTCAGCTCCCTTTCTATTAACACTCTGGCTGCCAAACACAGAGATCTCCGTGTTTGCCAACGCAACGCTCGACCGCCACACATGGAGATCTCCGTGTTTCAGGTTTTTGTAGGGAATCCGATAGATGGGGTAATTACCAAAATGTACTGACAATTTGAATTTGAATTTGAACACTATATTCCGTCCGGACTGTAAGTAGTTCGCTATTTGTTTGTTTACATTAGTGTTGTGCGGTATTGATTTACTTTCACGAAATCGCTATTATCTCAGCTTCGTTATGCAAAATTACGTAAATCTCCAAAAGTGAGTCATTTTACTGTTACGGGTCACCGATTGTGATTAGAATAAAATGTTTGGTACCATTGTAAAGCTAACATGTTTGTAGTTCTTGTAGTGTTCACTACATGCCAATCTGATCACATACACACTCTCAATGAGCTTCGGAAAAGTGTTAAAATTTGCTAAAATGTCTGGCGGTGGCTGATACTATTTTTTCAAACCGCTGGCGGTCAGAGTGTTAATATTGCAGTTTTAATCAGCGCATTTTAGGCTATCAATACGGGCTCACAGACATAATGATGACAGCATAATATGGAACTGAAAAAACATAATGAAATAAATTAATACATTATTTGGATCAATGTTTACTCTTGCAGGCAAGGCTTGGTTTAGCCGAAAAGGGCGTGAAGCACCGCCGGTATCATGTGACGCACAAGGCTGGCGAGAACCTGCTACCATGGTTCATGAGGCTGAATCCAAAGGGGGAAGTACCCATAATGGAGCACAACAAACGCCTCATCATAGATTCAGAGGCCATCTTGGATTACCTGGACCAGATAACACCAGATGGTTAGTACATGGTTACAAATGGGGGAAGAACAAGTCGGATTGGCTGTATTTTATCACAGGAATGTAGATATGGTGCATGGATTTGGGTGTGCAGCTTTGAAGTTTCCACTCAGTCTAAATCTAATTTCATTGCCCTTCACCATATTTATTAACTCCTTGTCCATCCTTAAATGTCTACTACCCACCCTCAGTTTTCACTACAGCTACAACCCTATTATTGTCTACTTAAAATATTTTTTTAGATTATTAAAATAAACTATATTTTAAGTATTGTTTTTTTCAGACCAGATGGTTTTCTTTTGATTTATAAGATTTATTGTTGATATTTCATTGATTTAATATTTTACATTTTTCCAAAAAGTACCCAGGTTGACCCCTGATCTGACCAGTGAGGAAGGGCCGAAGGTGCACCACTTCAAGAGCCTTTTGAAGTCTGTCAACATCCGTGTCCTGATGCTCGGAAGTAAACATCATGCTGATAAAATCGGAGCTGTGAAAGTGAAAGACTTCAATTCATGGCTGGCACATTTTGTCAAATGTGAGTCCAGTCACTGCAAATATTATTATTTAATCCCAGGATATAAGATGTTCAATCCCTGAGGGTTGCCAAGGTTTTTCTCATGGCCGTCAAATTTTAACTCCCTCAACCAGCCCATATACTAGGCTATTTATCTCCCAAGGTCCAAATGAGTCAGCTTTGAAGGGTATGGCTAACTATTATCGCTGTTGTTGTCAATTTGACAATTTCTGGTGCAAAATCACACCAAAGATATTCTGTCTAAATGCCAAGACAAAACATTTTGGAAATGCTACCAAATCCTGGAAATTCTATTAACTGCCTTTTATTTCTAGTACTGTAACACATACCTTCCAACCATCCTATTTTTTTTTTAATTTTCAAAACCTGTACAAATCAGGACATCTTGATTTTCTCAGTCTAGTTTATGTTATAATTTTATAACAGTTCCTTTCAAGTGGTGGCCTACGAGTTAATATTATGCCGCTAGAACAAGGCTAAAATAATGTTTTTGCAAGGTTTGACCTAGATTTCTAACCTTTAATAATTCTACATTCTATTTTTTGATGACTAGGCCTATATTGCCCTTCAAATTGTAGCTACAGTATGTATTTAATTGAATTGGAAGAAATATTGCAGCAAATTACAAAAAAAAAATTAATAGAAAATGTGTTCAGGCTCAACCAACGTGTACAGACAGTTATTTATATCAGTAAATTTTTAAAAAATAACTTGGCATTTCGGGGGAATAGCCACCTCCCCATAGACCCTAGGTGGCTTCTTTAAATTGGTTCAAGTTACAAACTGAAGCCTGTCACAATAAAGGCCAACTCAGACAGCGTCAGCCGATGCAGCCCGACCCGATTTATCGTCGGGGACAGTCTTAAGCCGTCGTGAGAAATATTAAACGTTTAATATTCTAGGATGCGACTGCCCCCGACGCACACCATCGCGTCTGCGTTTAACTCACACAGACCCGACGCGACAACAAATCACGTCCGACGCTGTCTGAGTTGGCCTTAAAGTTGAGAACCCCTGTTTTATAACAATGAAACATATACTGGTATATCTTAGCGTGTGGGGCAGTGTGTAAGTCTTTCAATCGGAAGGGAGGGGTTTCGAGAGTGATGCTCGTCACACTGCTTGTTTCCTTGGGCAAAACACTTTATCTGCATTTGCCTGTCTTCACCCAGGACTATAAATGGGTTGGTACCTTGTAGGAGGTGAATGATTCAAGATGAAATTAGTAGTGCAGATAACACGCATAACTAGGAGTACTCCCCAGGGAACGGAGGAGGTTGCATGTTGTGCAAAATTAATTCTGCATCCAATGACCAGGGAAAAAGCACCTTGAGCAATTTTCTGAATATGTGTGATAAATTCTATAAAATAACAATAACTTATTTTATGTTATTTTACTTTTATAGTGAAACATTCTAAAGGCATCAAAATTATGAAGTGGCATTCAAGAATAAATCCCGATCTGAAATTTGCATATGATGCCAAAATTGCAACTTATGAAAAAACAGCCAGCGGAATTGAACTAGAAGTAGTTTTAACAGAAATAAAACATTGTGATGAAGTTTTTGATGAAATTGAGGCTCAGCTTGTTCAGTGTAATAAAGATGCTGATGGTAAGCATATTTTAACTTCTTAATCAAGACTTTTTTCACCTAGTTTCGCAAATCAGATGGGCGTTGATATTTTAAATTAACCTAACATTTCATATCGGCATGTAAAGCTCGGTTTCCATGCAATTGCTGCACGGTCACTACAGCGTTTTCACTGCAATCCTTGCACTAAGTAGCTGTCCCACTCACATTTTATGTATTTGTCAATATCATTTTATTTTTTATTATATCTTCTATCTAGATACTTCAGGTAGCAGCAGCAACAATTTACTAAATAAGAAAATAATATTTTTCCCCTACTTTCAAAAGAATTTTCCAAAATGTGGTTCGCTAAAGGTATAAAAAGTCTTATCCTAATACCTCACACTTCATATCATTTCCTATAGCCAGAGCATATGAACATTTTACTGTTCGATTTTGTGTGTATGTTTTTTTCTTCTTTATCTAGTTTAATTCTTCGGTTTTAAATAGTTAGCTCTTGGACCAAATGTAGGTCGCTACAGTACTTGATCTAGTAGCGTGCATAAAAATTACAGTACCTTGGACATTAGCAATGTCAAGTTCTGTACTAAAAATTAACGTCATTATTTTCATATCCTTCCGGTTTCCTTTTGCCAATTGGAAACCATTCGCCACATTTGCTATGTGTGTCTTAAACCGTTAAATGAAAGTTAATTCGCCAGTCATATAATGTATGCCCTAAGCAATAGTGGTTAACCTACATTTGTTGCTCTTTCCCCATGAGGGGTACACTGTAGCATGTGAATGCTTAAATGTGCTATGAAATTAGTCTGCATTTAATTGCATACACAAGTAGGTATTCCTGTGAGCAGAGGTACTTGCACATGTAGGGTGTATTTTTAACTGAATGACCGACCAAGCCTTTAGGCAAGACATTTTTCAGGAAAAAAAGTTTTTCTTTATTTTTATTACACCCGTCGCTGCCTTGAAATCTCCAAAAATAAGAATTTCCTATTTCTATTCCTAATTATATAAATTTAAAGCATTAAATCATCCTGTTACTACAGTGTACGCCAATAAAATTTAATTTTTATTTTCTCTTCCGTCTGAGTCTTTTTTTGGCAAAAGTATTTGCCAAATAAGAAAACAAATATATAACAATGTGATTGCACCTTGAGTAAGGGCTATGGGGGCATCAAGTAAAACCTGTATATAGTAGTCATGACATGCCTTAGTTAAGGTGTGATGTCATCATGACCATATTAGGAATGTTGCATGTTTTTGGCAATTTAAATGTGATCGTCGGGACAGGGCTTAATATATTTTTTGCTTCATATTTTTTTTTTTATAAAAATTCTCTCCCCCCCCCCCCCAAGCATCTTCATGTATTCGACAAAATAATGTTTTTTCTTCCCCTCCTCTGAAGGATCTTCGTAAGTTTTACAATATAAAGTATTAAAGTCTTGCCTCAGCTTTTTTATATCATTTCACAGTCATTATTCTGCCAAAACCGAATATAACCTATTAGTATATAGGCCAAGGAAGGGGAAATATGAAAATTGCTGACATTAATTATATGCTATTCCAGTGACTGAAAATTAGGCCTATTGCTTGCAAAAAAAGTTGCAACGGCAGCAAAAAAAAATGATATAAGCAGGAACAAGAACCTAGTTAATTTTTTTTACATGGCCTTGATAGTATGTTGTAAAAACCTCTTAAGAGATATGGTTTGTAGAAGATGACATATATGTTGAAGCTTGCAGTACACCACGTAGGTAGTTCTGAAAAGAAATGTTGTAGTTGAGAAAGTCTCTTTTATATATACATATATATATATATATATATTTACTTTATTACATATTATGTATATATATATATATGTATAATTATATATATA